CAGACTCTTAAACTGAGCTCCTCAAATAATCAAGGACTCTTCTGGCCCTTGGAAAAGCCATGTTCCAGCTTCTTCGCTCTGGTTGAAAATGTTGTTGGCTGAGATGCAGGACATACTGATTTGCTAACCACTTTGATGATCTTGCACTTGTATTCAAACTGTTTTCAGAATCAGAATCAGACTACTTTTGTGCATGTATTCCAATGTGGTTTTACTGCAAACTTTGGAAAGGCAATAAATAACTGTTCAACTTCACTTCTCTAGTTTCTGGCTCTAAAACAGTTGCTTCTATCACTAGTTTTAGCATCGTGTGTTTTAGCCTCTGTCACATTTTTAGATCAGCTTTTTAAGACAGAAAAGTGAAAAACAGGACCACCCTCCGCCAATCAGCCTTTGTGTATGGTGTGTCTCCATGGGGGGTATGTGTTATGTCTGCGTGTGTGTGTCTGTGTTGTTTGCATGCATGTGTGTGCCGTAACTTGTGTGTGTGCACTGTGTGCAGCTGCTGACTGATTCCAGCAGGTGGCAGCAGAACTCCATAAACATCTGTCTTTACATTTCCTAATATTTTTTTTTTTTTTTTTTTTTTCACAGAATCTAGCACATCAACCCAAACAGAAAACACTGAAAAGCTGTCAGTCCTGAGGTCAGTCCTGAGGTCAGTCCTGGGGTCAATCCTGGGATCAGTCCTGAGGTCAGTCCTGGGGTCAGTCCTGAGGTCAGTCCTGGGGTCAGTCCTGAGGTCAGTCCTGAGGTCAGAAGGAACACGACAGTCAAAGAGGATCCACTTTTTTATTAAACACTGTTCACGTTCTGAAACAGACACTGGGGACAAATCTGGAAAAGACAGAATTTGAGCTCCAACCAAACTTCATGCAGAAGACGAGAGACTCCTCAGATAACAGACTAGTTCCTGGTTCAATATGAAAACATGTTTGTGTCATAAATTATGCCTTGACTCTTAATCACAGAACCCAGACCGGTACTGAAAACTGGACCAGCTCAGGGCGTCCCTACGGTTGTCAGTGTTGGGAAAGGTGCGCATCGTCATATACAACATAGTTAAAGTTTGTGAGTGTGTGCTGCGAGAGACTTGTGCAACACCGCAAACTGCTGAGAACATCTCAAACCTCAGAGAAATGATTAGGAGTTGTGTCTCAAATTATTGGAGCAGTTTGTTCGTCAGCAGGAACCACATCTTTCCTGCTCTGAAAGCGCTCAAATGGTGTGTCCTACAGGATCCACTTCTGGTCTGGTCAGAGCGTTGCATGGTCAGACTCCTTCTGACAGAATTGTTTTTATTTTCTTTGTTACCGGCTGCAAACACAGACATGCGATGCTAAAAGCCGTTTCACCTGAGAAATCACCAAAACTAATTTATGGGCAATCATTTTGTTTTAAAGGCGGAAAATTGCTCTGAGTGTGATGTCATAGTGGTACAATGGGGCGGAGCTACATGTTTGTTCCTGATATTAGCATGGATGGATCTGAACAAAACTGCAGGTCTGTGACTGAGGAGGAACACTGTTGGAACATGGAAAAGAGTGTCTCCTCTTACTGACATAACATTCACTTATCAATTACAAACAGAGAACAGTGAAATTAAATATTTTGTGACGTGAGTTACAAAATATTAGGTAACTTTGTAATATATTAGGTAACTCGTAATATTTATTGTTGGTCCTTGGAGGTGGGGAGTAGGTGCTGTGGTGGCGGCTGGCTGGATAGAGGGATGACTAGAGTGAGCCATGATGGCGTTCTGGAGTGTTGCTTTGAGTGGGTACATCAATGGGAAAATTGCATGACAGTAGATATAAAATAAATAATAATTAATATATGCTATGTGTGTACATAAAGAAAATCTGCTTTCTCTCTGGTCTTGTTGGAGCTATGAGAGTCACTGTGGTGATAATCGGCTCGATTGGAAAAGGCGTGCGCAAGGAAGTAAACAATCTAATTAAATGTATACTGAATTTATTTTAAAAAAAAAATCTATATATGAATGCGGCGTATCATTCATACTGTATGAATGGATGAGTCATTACTATTTTTAAGAATTGTTACGATTTATCATAACAACATAGATGGGGTGGGAGTTTAGTTTTACTTCTTCCCACTCCATTTTGAGCTCATGGAGCACTTTGTGTATAACAATAATGGCTATGTAAATATGTAAAGCTTGTTTTATTTTTTTGTGCACGGGTGCATTAGTGATGTGGGTTGTATATATTTGTTGGTGTGGTCTGTCTACTGGTGCACCATTGGGCATTTGGATGCTTGGTGTATGTACAAATGTGTACTGTGTACTGTTTTAAGCTCGGAAGGAACAAAATATTAAAAAAATAAAATACATTTGATGCATTTTATTTAACAGTAGAATTCGCAAAGCAGTCAATTTGACGGCTTTTAGTTTTAGAAGCGTAAATTCTTATGTGGCCATTTTCTATTTTCTCTGGCAGTTAAAGCCCCTTCTCTTCAAGGTGCTGGTTCCTGGCCCTTAGCTGGGTCTGCGCTGGTCCTGAAAGGTTGTGGACGGGTTCTGATCCAATCCTGGACTGGTCCTGGTTCCGAGGCTTGTCAGTAGGTTTTCCACCTATAGCAACACACTATTGACTGTCAGAATTAGATTATAAATTTTTTTTTTTTATAAAACTGGTGGACAACAAGACACTTAACAACAAGACACGCAAGACACTTAACCCCACTTTGCCCAAAGCCCCCACTGAAAGATCAAGGCTATGCTCACACTCAGAGAGCAGCCGTCCTCCTGTGGACTCACCACCTGCAGAGGGTCAGTGAGGGGCTGGTGCTATGAGACTTGGGTGGCATCTCTGACTGTCACCCCCCTGACCCAGAAATGGATTAAAGGGTAGAAAATGGATGGATGGATGGTGGACAACAAGCCTTTGTGGGGATTTTTTCAGAATTCCATTGATTTGAATGGGAGCAGTCAAAATGACTGCTCTGTCAGTCTTTGTGTTCAAGAATATATTACAGCGAGTTAGTCCCAACACTGACAAACGCGTACGGCGTATATGATTCTAATTATTCAAAGGCAAATCTGTGCTAGCTAAATGTCTTTGTTTGCATTGATCTCAAATGTAACTGGAGATTAGATTCTTATCTTGGTAGTCTTTGGAAATTCAAATGTACAGTTTACACACCTCGTGCCCAACATTATCTCTACAGCTCAAAACATAAAAGGGACAGACTTTTGTAGAAAACTCCCAGAACACGTACAAAAACATGCCCACGTCCTCCTCGTCGACACAACCCCATAGAAAACACAGCTCAATAAATACATACAAAAGAAATAAATAGTAACTGACAACATGGTGTTTGAGCTGCGCCAGAGCTGCACGGCGGAGCGTTCAGGGGCCGTACGTCGCTGCTTTTATTGCTCAAACACAGGTGTGGGCTTGCCTCTCCACAGAGCTGACTGGGATCAAGCAGCGGGAAAGGACAATGGCGGCACACAGACTGTATAAGTAATGGGCAGAGTGTGAGCTCGCAAACAGACTCTATGAGGATTAGAACTATTCATTGATTTTTAAACTAGTTGTCCAATCATTTTGATAATCTATTAATTCATTATTCATTGCAGTAAGAGGCATAAATATGTTTAAAACCAAGTACACTGGTCCCTGCTTTATTGCGGGAGCGATGTGTTCTAAAAATAACACACAAGAACTAAAATCCTTGAAGTAGCAGCTGTGTGTTTTAAGGCTGTAAAACCTCACACACACTTTATACGCTTTTCTAACAACCTGAACGGCCACTGTTGTTTGCAAATACAGTGGCTTTGTTTTCATCACATGTATGAAAAAATGTGTGTGTGTGAATGGCTGGTGGTGGTCGGAGGGGCCGATGGCACATACAGGTTGCCTTGCTTCTGTCAGTGTGCCCCAGGGCAGCTGTGGCTACAGTAGTAGTTTATCACCACCGTGTATGGAGAGAAAGAAGGACCTAACGACTCTGCTGAGCCTCAGCAGGGTCGTTAGACCTGCTCCCTTCTACATCAAACAGACCTTAGATTGTTTATGAGTTAGTATCAGGATTAGGGTGTGGCTAACCACACCCATAGGTTATAAATCTCCAACGCGCGGTCCGAGAATTCATTCCCTGAAGAAGTCCGCTAGGTTGAGGACGAAACATCGGGAAAACTTGCTAAGAAGTACAGATGATGGGTGAGAAACCTTCCTTTGCTTTGACTAATCCCTGTACGACTGAGAGCTTACACAAACTAAGGACATGTGAAGTGTGTCCAAGGAAAATTAAAAACTGATGCATTATTATTTTTAAAAATACCATATCAGCATTTCTTTTTGAACAACTAGATTATCAAATGTATCGTTCATTACAGCTCTACAAACAGCCAATCAGGAGCTGTGCTGGCTCACGCTATTCACTTGTCGAAGTCAAATCAGGGACAGAAGGTTCCTGATCAAAACAGCAGGTTCATATAGAGCAGTGGACATCTTTAAGACTTTTCTGAGGCAATGAAAAACCATAGTGTTTGTCTCTTATGATAAATTATCCAAGTAAATCTGCACATATTATTATTATGTGTTCACAATTATGGGTTTTTGTGGTCACTCAAATGATAAATTCACCATAAATAAGGAAATTGGACCTAAAAGTGTTTTGAGGGCTGGGGTGCTGGTAGGTGAAAATATTGTCTGACGTTAAACTGGTCTTTGGCACTGAAAAGGTTGGGGACCGCTGATGTAGAGCATTATGCCACAGCCCAAAATAGAGACTGTGGCCGGAGAAGTTACAGATTTAAAATGTGTGGCCTTCACTATGTGGCTGTCCATCTTTATTCAGTCTGTGTTTGAAACTCACCCTTGCGACTGTCTTTGCCTGCTATTGTATTGTACTATTGAGTTGTTTTTTCTATTGCTTGATAAAAAAATACTATGAAACATTCACGGCGACGTACCCTCCATAACAAGTTCCGCATTGCAGCTTCAAAGCGCATAAAGTCCTTCCGAGAGCAGTCACTGACTCTGGGGCAGTGTCGTCCATATACTTATACTCCTGATTATAATCCATTCTTTCTGGTTCGCCGTGACGACAATCCTCACGCATTCGATGTTGAACGCGATCTTACGGTCCACGTCCTGCACCTCGACCTTTCCCTTTTTGAACTCCCCGATGGTGATAAAACTGGAGCACTGTTTGCCTTTCTTAGTCCCCACCAACTTCTCTCCCACTTCCAGCGCTCCGTGATGCAAGACGTCACTCTGCCGATCGTCAGAGCCTGTGGTCACTTTGATCTTGCTGATTTTCGCCGACTTGTTAAAGACGATCATGAAAAAGTCTCCAGTCGACGGCGGTTTTCCCCAGAAATACTCGTCCACGGAGCTGTACGCCTTCGCTGCATCATAGTTCTCAAACACGTTGATGTTGGTGTACAAATTCGCAGGAGGGTTGTCGGGAATGTCCAGCGAATCCTCCTCAAAGTCGTCGTCTTTGAGCTTGTTCTCCGCGCCCTTGTACGAAGAGTAGTACCCCATGTGTTGGAACAGCGACGGCTTGAATCGAATGACGTCTTTCTGGGCTAGCAAACCGCGGAAATGAATCAGCAGCCAGTCGCATGGCATTTCCTGGTAGAACATGAGCAAGAAGTTGGCCAGTCTCGGCAGGTCGCGCGAATGGTACAGCTTCCCGATGTAGCCGAGTTTGGAGAACTCCAGCGTCACCCAGTAGGAGCCCTCGCGAGACGTTATGACCTTCTTGAGCGCGGTGAGGAAGTTCCGAGAGCAGCGCACGTCGTCTTCCAGCATCATGTAGAAGTCGGACAGGTTGGTGCAGAAGTTCAGGAGGAAGGCGTAGTCCACGTTTTGCTTGGAGCGGAATCGTACGCGGTCTTCTGGGTCGTTGTAGTTGCGTTTGAGACCGTCCAGAGATGGGTAGAACTCCTCGGGGGCCTGGATGACGAGGAGGCGGCCGGCGATGATGTGGTGGGCAAACTTGCGAGCTATCTCCTGGACCAGGTATTCGCACCAAACCAGGTCGAAGTCGGCCAGATGTACCACGACCACGATCTCTTTCAGCTCCTCGTAGCTGGACTGGTCAAAGATGGACTTGATGGTCTCCAGGAGGTAGTTCCCGCGTTTTCGCTTCACAGACGACAGGCCGATTGTGAGGAATTCTGGGGAATGTACAGAAATGACAGATTATGAGGATTTTTTTGCGTGCCACTGTTTAGGGTTAAAGCTAAGGTACATAAGTTTCTAATTTTGGTGATACAATACATGTTTTTATTTCCTGACTAGAGTTCTGCTTTTTCAGACAATGCGTGCGTGTATGTGTGCGCGTACTCTTGAGTGTCAGTGGTGTCCCTTCAAAGTGTGTGTTAGTGATGTTGATCGCGCTGTTGTGTATATTTGTGTGCGTGTCTCTATGTGTGCCGGTGTATACGTGCGTGAGTGCATACTTTTGCGTGTCAGTTGTGTCCCTGCAAAGTATCTGTAAGTGACATTGATGGAGCTGTTGTGTGTGCGTGTGTGTGTGTGTGTGTGTGAGTGTGCGTACTCTTGCGCGTCAGTGGCGTCCCTGCTAAGTATCTGTAGGTGACGTTGATGGAGCTGCTGAAGTTGCTGAGGTCTCTGAAGCTGTGGACGTATCTGTCGGAGCTCGGGGAGTGAGGGGTGGTGTCCCGTAGCGCCTTCTCCTCCTGCAACACAACAGTCACATTTACACAATGTTTGACTTTCATGCTTCAGAACATAAAGCTGTGGTTTCTAACTTTCAAACCTCAACAATGGAACCATGTCATAAAATCCAATGTCAACCCCAAAAGAGTCACTGATATTGCAGAAAAAGGGGGTTGCACAAAGTATTACCTTCGCCTGTATACCAATGGAAAATGCTAATGCTAGCTCAACATGTGGATCTGTCTGTGTTTGTGTGTGTCTCTATATTTGTCTGTGTGTTTCTGTCTGTTTACTCTTGCTCAGAAAAGTCATGTTCTGTGGGATGTGTTCAAAGTGACACTTACTGCGTTTACATTTAACATTTATGCTATTTTATGCTTGACTAATATTTTATTTTATTTTAGTATAGTTTGTATTCATTATCTAGTGTTGTGTGCTCCCCATTCCACTGTCTGTAACTTGTGATGCAACACTGAAATGTCCCGACTGTGGGATGAACAAAGAATCTCTTAATCTTAATCTTCATGTTAATCTCATTTAAACTATGTATTTGTAACATTCACATAAAACCAGGTTCACCCAGCAGGATATCCTAAAGTACTATCTGACGATCAAAATCAGATACTCAGTGATACACGGTGCGGTGACTTCAAGAAGAATTATTATGCACTATGATCGGCCTTTAAAATACGTAGCATAATGACATCATACAATATCCAGATAATATCAACCATATTGTCTCTGTCTCTGCCCCTAGGTCAGAGACAGAAGGGGCAGAGATACATGTAGCGTGGAAGGATCTAAACACAACTCCAGGTCAGTGGTTGATGGGGAGCAATATTGTGATATATGGAGAAAATATGGATAGATAAAAAGTCTCCTTTAAGACTGCTCTTTGTGTTTCTTTCACCACTGCCTCTTCTGCTTCGCTGGCTCTGTTTGAGCTTGAGATGTTTTGTGAGATTTCCCTTCTGACCTGAGAATGTTGGTGAATGAAATTGGTTTGTGTGATGTGTGAGTAGCAGCAGTAAAATAGTAGTAGTAGTAACAGTAGCCGTAACGGTTGCAGGAGCAGCAGTAGTAGTTGTAGTAGTAGTAGTAGCAGCAGCAGCCGTAGTGAATTGTGGGATTTTAATTGTATTTTTAATGTTTATGATATATGCCTGTTGTGATACGGGTTGTGAGCAGTAGTAGAAGCAGTAGCAGCAGCAGCAGCAGTAGTAGTAGTAGCATTTGAAGCAGTAGCAGTAGTAGCAGTAGGGCACTCACCAGCACATATCCGTCCTCCATGTACAGGTTGAGCACCAGCAGGGAGGTGAGCAGCAGGCCCAGCAGGGGGAGGGTGGTGCGCTTCCTCAAACAGCGCATCTTATCCACAGACTTCCACAGCCAACGCATGGTCCCACCAGGCTCTGTGTGAGAGGGGAAAGTTACAGACAGAATCTTTAAACCGGGCTCTGTGTGAGAGAGGAAAGTTATGGAGATCTTTCCTCTCTGGTCTCTCTCTCCGGACTCTCTCTGGTGTCTCCATGGTGTCTCCCTCTGGTCTCTCTCCGGTCTCTCTCTCTGGTCTTTCTCTTTTCTCTCTCTCTGGTGTATCTCTCTATCTGTTCTTTCTCTGCTCTCTCTGGTCTCTTTCTGGTCGCTCTCTCTGGTCTCTTTCTGGTCGCTCTCTCTGGTCTCTTTCTGGTCTCTCTCTCCGGTTACTCTCTCTTGTGTTTCCATGGTGTCTCCCTCTGGTCTCTTTCTGGTCTCTCGCTCTAGTGTTGTGTCTGGTCTCTTTCTGGTCTCTCTCTGGTATACTGTATATCTCTGTTCTCTCTTTATGGTCTATCTGCTTCTCTCTTTCTGGTCTGTCTGTTCTCTCTCTGGTCTCTTTCTGGCCTCTCTCATCAATCTCTCTGGTATCTCTCTCTCTCTCTCTCTCTACTCTCTCTGTGCTCTCAATTTTCAGTTTCTGTCCTAAAAAAGCTGACACAGGTTCAAACAACACGTCAACCTTCCCCACTGTTGTTCCAGGTCAACACATAATTTCAAAACTTGCCCAAAAATGACGAGAAAAAACAACTGTAACATGGTAAAGTCAGACTTTTTATATATTATTCTGCCCTTCACACACACACACACACACACACACACACGCACACGCACACGCACACACACACACACTTCATCCCCAAACTCTCTCTCCTCTTAGCTCTGAGGGAAGCGGAGCGGAGCTTACACCGGCCTCACCTCCAAACCTGCTCAGGCTCAACAGATCCAGCTCTAGTCCGCAGGTCCACGGAGCTGGCGCGTAATACCACCATCCCAGCAGAGGATTAAGTGGATAAACAATTACGACACGCTGCTCTTTCTAATTGATACTGCTTTTGTCCCTCACACCGAAAAGAGCAAGGATCAGGAGTGGACGGAGCGACACGTCTCCAGCTAGCTTAGTTAGCTTTAATGTGGAAGAAGCCGATTAGAGCTAACTCCAAAGGGTTATTTGAGCAGGAATGTGGAGCAGAACGCATGCAAATTGTGTTGCTAGCAATCGCTGAGCAGCCAACAGCCAATCAGGACCCGCGCTAGTTTGCCCCCACTCGAGCTACTTGCTGCTCAAGTTGAATTTGACGACAGAAGGCGCCTGATTGGTCAGATGTTAAGGCTCTGGATCTGGATTTAAAAAGATAATATCACAATATAAACACCATCAAATAGAGCACTCTCTCTGGTGTCTCGATCTGGTCACTCTCGGGTCTCTCTCTGGTCGCTTTCTGGTCTCTCTCTGGTCTCTCTCTGGTCTCTCTCTGGTCACTCTTTGGTCTCTCTCTGGTCTCTTTCTGGTCTCTCTCTCTGGTCTTTCTCTGGTCTCTCTCTGGTCTCTCTTTGGTCTCTCTTTCTGGTCTCTCTCTGGTGCAGAGACTTACAGGGCTCTAGATCTTACACAAGTCAGAACCAGAGCCTTAGGATTTTACCTATTGCACATGTTTTTAGTGGTTGGGCAAACCGCAGCACCTGGAAGAACATGGAGAACATGCAAGCTCCACTCAGAAAGATCCTGTCTGGAGGAGGAATAGTACCCAGGACCATGTTGCAGAGAAGCCAGAGACTCATTAAATTCCATAAGACGCGGCACACAGCTGACAGGTTTTCCAGATGTTGTAATCGGAGCTAATTGCTTAAACAGTTTGAAGGAGCGGCTCACAGCGGATCGCTCTTATCACACGGAACAAGTCGCATTAATTGAAAAAGTGGTTTTCACAAAGAAACCTCTCAAATGTAACCGCCGTGCGTCGTGTTCGGGATTAGCGAGAAATTCTCAAAATGGGAATCAGTGCAGAGAGATAGTGTTGAAACTCACATTCACGGATTACAAGTTGGATTGAAGACAGAACGTCACGGGAGATGACAATGGTTTATTTAAAGCTGGAGTGCGTAAGTTTTAGGTTTCATAAAGACCCGTCTGACCTGACAGAATCTGTAGAGTTTAGTGAAAATGTGAACAAATCTGACCACAACATGCTCTAAATGGAGCTCTCTCTGGACTCTCTCTGGTCTCTCTGGTCCCTATCTGGTCCAGTGACTCACCGGGCTCTGTCATATACAAAAGATAACATTTTCTGAAGACAAATGAAGGCAGCAGTGGGGGATGCAGATGTGTGATTGTAACAAATGCAATTTCATTTGAGACATAACTATGTGCAATATTTCAATTTTGAAGGGATAAAATTGCCTTTAAAATCTTCTGTCTCAGTCCTGAGACAGAAGATTTTAAACAGAAGGGGTGGAGCTACATGTTTGTGTGCGGATAAAAGCGTGGATGGATGCAAACACAACTGCAGATCTATGACCGAAGAGAAACATTGTTATAATATCGGGAAATCTGCGTTTCAGATTCATGCAGCTAGAGTCTGGAACCATCTTTCCGAGAATGTGAGACAGGCGTCTACTCTGGCAGTTTTTAAAACTGGGCTGAAAACAATTCTGTTTAGCTGTGCAATTGAGAATCTGTGGAAAGAGCTGAAGACTGCTGTTCACAAACGCTCTCCATCCAACCTCACTGAGCTCGAGCTGTTTTACAAGGAAGAATGGGCAAGAATTCCAGTCTCTCGATGTGCAAAACTGATAGAGACACACCCCAAGCGACTTGCAGCTGTAATTGCAGCAAAAGGTGGCGCTACAAAGTATTAGCGCAAGGGGGCCGAATAATATTGCACGCCCCACTTTTCAGTTTTTTATTTGTTAAAAAAGTTTAAATTATCAATACACTTCGTTCCACTTCACGATTGTGTCCCATTTGTTGTTAATTCTTGACAAAAATAGTAATTTTTATATCTTTATGTTTGAAGCCTGAAATGTGGCGAAATGTTGAAAGGTTCAAGGGGGCCGAATACTTTTGCAAGGCACTGTATAATAATAATGTTAGATCTTGATTCCTTCCGCTTCAATCTGGCGTAGTGCAGTTTAGCATCATGAAAATCCCTACATTGTCTCGTTTGCATCAACAAAAGCAGATGACGAGCCGCAGGAAACGTGGCAGAAATAACCTTTACTTTACAGACGATCTACTGGCCCCAAATCTGTTTGTTGTGGGATGCGTCTCCACAGACCATGCGTAGTCATAGCAACAATGAAGTACGTTAGCCAAGCGAGAGACCAGAGGGAGACCAGAGAGAGAGAAGCTAGAGAGAGAGATCAGAGAGAGACCAGAAAGATACCAGAGTGAGACCAACGAGAGGGATCAGAGAGAGAAACCAGAGAGAGAGCAGAGAGAGAGAGACCAGAGAGACCAGAGTGTGATCAGAGAGGGTTCAGTGAGAGACCAGAAAGACACCAGAGAGAGACCAACAAGAGGAATCGGAAAGAGAAACCAGAGAGACCAGAGAGAGAGACCAGAGAGAGAGATCAGAGATGGAAAAAATGCCTTGTGCTTGTAACTCCCGATGCTGCCACCAGAGGGAGGCTGCAAACACAGACATGTGATAGAAAAAAACGTCGCCTTAGAAATAACCAAAACTAATTTACGTGCAATACTCTTGTTTTAAAGGAAGACAACTGCTCTGAGTGCGATGTCATAGTGGTATAATGACATCATACTGTAACAGGATTGAGACAAGAGCTTTTGGAGAGAAGGGGCGGAGCTACATGTATGCGACAGAAGGAAAGCATACTATATCGCCCCCTGTTGTTCCTCTAATGACATGTTGCCATTATGAAACAAACCCACAGAACCGCCAGCTATGTACTGAGTCTGACAGAGCCTGAGCTGTTCTGCAGAGAAGAATTGGCAAAGCAAATCCGTCTCCAGGTGCGCAAAGCTTGTAGAGACCAAACTACGTACATTAGTTTCATGTTCAATCCACAAGAGTCAGACATAAACAAACTCAAAATGAGACGGGAAGCAGTTTTTGGATCGATTTACAGCTGAACGAAATCTCATCAGCGCTGAAGCTTGGTGAGTAAATAGCATTACCTTTGCGACCTCGTCCTCTCAGAATCCGGGTTTAGTCCAGAAGAAAGACGTTTGTAGTGTCCATAACAAAGCCATGTCCCAGTACAGTCAGTCTCCACCCATCATAAATGTTTAATGACCTCTGAGTGGACGTCCAGTCGCTCTCTTTATCTCCGGTTTCCCTGACTCTGCATCGACGCTGGGCTCCGGTTTGATCCAAAAGGCAAAGAGCAACATGAGATCAGTGAGAGAGACCAGTGAGAGACTAGAGAGAGAAACCAGAGAGAGAGACCGGAGAGGGACTAGAGAGAGACAAGGGAGAGAGACCTGAGAGAGAAATCAGAGATACCAGAGAAGGAGAACTGAGAGAGCAGAGAGAGAGATCAAAAAGAGATTAGAGAGGCCCGAGAAGGAGAACTGAGAGGCCAGAGAGAGACCAGAAAGACATCAGAGAGATCAGTAAGAGAGACCGGAGAGGGACAAGGGAGAGAGACCAGAGAGAGATATGAGAGAGAGTAGAACTGAGAGGCCAGAGAGAGACCAGAAAGACATCAGAGAGATCAGTAAGAGAGACCGGAGAGGGACAAGGGAGAGAGACCAGAGAGAGATATGAGAGAGACCAGAGAGGGAGAACAGAGCGACCAGAGAGAGAGATCAGAGAGACCTGAAAGAGATCAGTGAAAGAGACCAGTAACAGAGACCACAGAGATCAGTGAGACCACAGAGAGAGAGAGAGATCAGAGAGATCAGTGAGAGAGACCGGAGAGGGACTAGAGAGAGACAAGGGAGAGAGATGAGAGAGACCAGAGCGGGAGAACAGAAAGATCATCAGAGAGAGATCAGTGAGGCCAGAGTGAGAGAACAGAAAGACCAGAAAGAGAGACCATAAGGAGAGAACAGAGTGAGAGATCAGTGAGAGACAAGAGCAATTAGGAAGAGAGACCAGAGAGATCAGAGAGAGAGAGAGACCAGAAATTGAGTGAGCGAGACCAGGCGAGAAGAGGTCTTTTTTTTGCCTTTGTTTTGTTTTGTCCCTCTCTATAGATTGGTATTTGTTCATGTTCCTCTGTCTCCATAAACCGCGGCTCACATCCCGTATTCCGCAGCCGTGCGTCCTGCGATCTCCTCTCATCCATAATTCACAAAGACAAGCACCTTTTTACTCGCTCAAACCTCGGGGCCCAAAAGCAGGAAGTAGCAAAGTGCTCGCACCTCTGCTTGGTATGAACACCCGCGTCCGCGCACCGCCCACCGCCTCGGGCACGGGTCGCACTGTTCTTTCCACCGTAGGCTTGAAGGACGAGGTCAAACACATGTGCCGTAATCGCAGAAGAGAAAGTGCTCCCTTTCCGGAGACGGGAGAAACCGAAAGCGAGAGAGCAGAGACAGAGACCAGAGAGAGAGAGAGACCAGAGATAAACCAGGGAGAGAGACCAAAGAGAAACCCGAGAGACCAGAGAGAGAAAGACAGAGAGAAACCAGAAGTTAGAAGGGCAGCACAGCGGCGTGGTGGTTATCGTTTGTGCTTCACAGAGAGAAAGTTAAGGGTTTAATTCCAACAGGACCTTTCTGTGTGGAGTTTGAAGTTTCTCCCCTGTGTCTGCGCAGGTTTCCTTCGGGTGCTCCACTTTCCCCTACCACTATAAACTTGTACAATAGCTGAGGGTTGGATTAGTTTGTGTTTGTGACTGTGGGACTACAGATGCAAATTAGCTACATAGCTCTGGTATATTTATAGCTCCTGCTGTTCATTAATACACACAATCCCATCTGAATAAACACAAATACACACAGAGACAGAGAGACAGAGAGACAGAGACAGAGAGACAGAGAGACAGAGAGACAGAGAGACAGAGAGAGAGAGAGAGAGACAGAGAGAGACTGTCCAGGGACAAACGAGATATAGAGACCAGAGACAGACAAGAGAGAGTCCAGGGACAAACGAGATATAGAGACCAGAGAGAGAGAGTCCAGGGACAAACGAGATATAGAGACCAGAGACAGACAAGAGAGAGTCCAGGGACAAACGAGATATAGAGACCAGAGACAGACAAGAGAGAGTCCAGGGACAAACGAGATATAGAGACCAGAGACAGACAAGAGAGAGTCCAGGGACAAATGAGATATAGAGACCAGAGACAGACAAGAGAGAGTCCAGGGACAAACGAGATATAGAGACCAGAGACAGACAAGAGAGAGTCCAGGGACAAACGAGATATAGAGACCAGAGACAGACAAGAGAGAGTCCAGGGACAAACGAGATATAGAGACCAGAGACAGACAAGAGAGAGTCCAGGGACAAACGAGATATAGAGACCAGAGACAGACAAGAGAGAGTCCAGGGACAAACGAGATATAGAGACCAGAGACAGACAAGAGAGAGTCCAGGGACAAACGAGATATAGAGACCAGAGACAGACAAGAGAGAGTCCAGGGACAAACGAGATATAGAGACCAGAGACAGACAAGAGAGAGTCCAGGGACAAACGAGATATAGAGACCAGAGACAGACAAGAGAGAGTCCAGGGACAAACGTGATATAGAGACCAGAGACAGACAAGAGAGAGTCCAGGGACAAACGAGATATAGAGACCAGAGACAGACAAGAGAGAGTCCAGGGACAAACGAGATATAGAGACCAGAGACAGACCAGAGAGAGTCCAAAGACAGACGAGAAAGAGAGGCCGCAGAGAGACCAGAGACAGACCAGAGAGAGTCCAGGGACAGACGAGAAAGAGAGACCGCAGAGAGACCAGAGACAGTCCAGAGACAGACCAGAGAGAGTCCAGAGACAGACCAGAGACAGACCAGAGAGAGTCCAGAGCCAGACCAGAGCCCGACCAGAGCCAGACCAGAGACAGACCAGAGAGAGACCAGAGAGAAACCAGAAAGAGTCCAAAGACAGACCAGAGAGAGACCAGAGAGAAACCAGAGAGAGACCAGAGAGAGACCAGAGAGAGACCAGAGAGAGATTATAGAGAGAGAGGCTGGATAGAGCATGTGTCTGATTTGTTCACAACCGTCTCTTTCTCTCGGGAAAAACTAAATGTGTTCTAAATACATACAAATAAAAGTGAAGTTCCCCAGCTTTAATCGCTCGGTTCGTGGAGCTGTTCTCCTTCGGCTGCAGCTCTCAGCCGCTCATTAGCATACACTCGTTTGTTCCTCATTAATTATGCATCAACGAGAAGCGCTCACCGCGGCGGGGTCAAGCAGCCGCACGGAGGAACGGCGAGCGGCGGGATTACAGAGGCTCTTCCCATCGAGGAGCGGCCCTGAACTTTGACCCCAGGAGCGTCATTTGCATCTGGCTCTTTGAAAAGTAGAATGCATTAGTTAGAAAGAAAAAAAAAACTGAAAAATCGACTCGTAAATGCTTTAAAGAGGTTTGATGGAAAAAGTTTAGTTTTAAACAGCTCTGGACGTGACCTGTGTGGAAGTGGGGTCGAGACAGGACAGCAAGGGGAAAGGATGCGTGTTGTTTGGACCTGTGTTTCACCGCGGGGAAAATGAGTGTATGGCCAGAGAGAGGACAGAGAGAGACTAGAGACAAGAGAGAGACCAGAGAGAGACCAGAAAGAGACCAGAAAGAGACCAGAAAGAGACCAGAAAGAGACCAGAGAGAGACCAGAGAGAGACCAGAGAGAAACCAGAGAGAGACCAGAGAGAGACCAGAGAGAGAGACCAGAGAGAGACCAGAGAGACCAGAGAGAGACCAGAGAGAGACCAGAGAGAGACCAGAGAGAGACCGGAAAGAGATGACAGAGAGAGACTAGAGAGAGACCAGAGAGAGACCAGAGAGAGACCAGAGAGAGACCAGAAAGAGACCAGAAAGAGACCAGAAAGAGACCAGAAAGAGACCAGAAAGAGACCAGAAAGAGACCAGAAAGAGACCAGAAAGAGACCAGAAAGAGACCAGAAAGAGACCAGAAAGAGACCAGAAAAAGACCAGAGAGAGACCAGAGAGAGACCAGAAAGAGACCAGAGAGAGACCAGAGAGAGACGAGAGAGACCAGAGAGAGACAAGAGAGAGACCAGAGAGAGACAAGAGAGAGACCAGAGAGAGACCAGAGAGAGATGACAGAGAGAGACCAGAGAGACCACAGAGAGACCAGAGAGAGACCAGAGAGAGATGACAGAGAGAGACCAGAGACAAGAGAGATACAAGAGAGAGTGAAAAGATAGAGGCCGGAGAGAGACGACATAGAGAGACTAGAGAGATAGACTACCAGAGAGACTAAAGAGAGGTCTGGTCTCTCTCGAGGGAGAGACCAGAGGGAGATAAAGAGAGAGAAAAGATAGAGGGACTAGAGTTTTACCAGAGAGAGACTTGAGGGAACAGAGAGACAGACCAGAGAGAGACTGCATGGAGACAAAAGAGAGAACCCGGGTTAAAACCTGGATTCAGTCTCTGTCTTGGAGAGGGAAAAGCATGTGCTCAGAGTGGAGAGTGGCTTTTTGCAGAATCTCAATAGTTTTTATTTTAAAGTGCTCCTGAAATAGACCTGTGCAGTGGACTGTAACAGCGAGTCCTGGGAGACCAGAGCACCAGGAGAAAGGAAGGATCTTATTTTGGGAGAGAACTTCTGGGCTGCGTTTCAAAATCACATCAAAACTGCATCCAAATCAGGACAAAGCTGCTCTCACACTCCTGTCCAGGGCTTTAGTCCAAAGTTATAGTTACTGTGTTCCTCCTCTGGTCCCAGGGGTCGGTTCCCAAAAGCTTAGACCACAGGTGAGCTTTGACTGCAGACGCTGCTCCCTCTTCATCAAAACAGTCGTAGGCAACAGTAATGTAGGCTACTGCACTATATTCTAAATTTGTTGAAACGGCATACATCCTTGAAGAGAAGAATACCCGTAAAATAACGCCCAGGCAGTCAACAAGGATCCTGGGTCTAGCCCTGACTGTGCACACCTTCTGTTCCGTTCTCTCTCTGGTGCCTCTCATTGGTCTCTTTCTGGTCTCTCCCTCTGGTCCCTCTTATTGGTCTCTCTCTGGTCTCTCTCATTGGTTTCTCTCTGGTCTCTCCCTCTGGTCCCTCTCATTGCTCTCTCTGGTCCCTCTCACTGGTCTCTCTCTGGTATCTCTCTAGTCTCTCTCTCTGGTCTCTCTCTGGTCTCTCCCTCTGGTCTCTCTCTGGTCTCTCCCTCTGGTCCCTCTCATTGCTCTCTCTGGTCCCTCTCACTGGTCTCTCTCTGGTCTCTCTCTAGTCTCTCTCTCTGGTCTCTCTCTGGTCTCTCCCTCTGGTCCCTCTCATTGGTCTCTCTCTGGTCCCTGTTTATGGGAATGATAAACTTTGAGAATGCATCGTGTTCTACTGTAGATTAACTGTTTAACTCTGTCACCTCTAGTGTTTTGAACGTTCTGGACACCATCGCTCCTGTGAAGGTTAAAATATTGAAAAATAAGCAGAAGGCGCCGTGGGCTAAAGCAGACTCGGTCAGGGCACAAAAGAGAGAGTGCCGGAGGGCCGAGCGGAAGTGGCGCAAGTCCAACCTCCAGGTTGATTACGAGATCTTCAAAGATAAGTTTTGCAAGTTTAACCAGGTGCTACGTAGTACGAGAGAAAGGTATTTTTCTGAAATGATTGAAGGTTTCAGTAACAATCTGCGTGTTCTGTTTTCAACAGTTAATAGATTAACAAACCCCCCTGTTCAGATGCCATTAGAGCTAACTTCCAAACGTAAATGCAATGAGTTTGGACACTTTTTCAATGACAAGGTTCAAGGCATCAAATACGCCATTGTCTCCAATCCACAGATAACAATCCAACAACCAGAAAGGTTCTTTGAGCTAACTTACTTTGCACCTGTAAATGATCAAACTGTCCAAGAGATGATCACAAGTGTGAGCTCCTCCACATGCAGCCTGGATGTACTACCCACTAGATTTCTGAAGTCTGTTCTGAGCAGTCTGTTACCTTCACTCACACAGATAGTAAACATGTCCCTTCATTCTGGAATAATCCCAAAGGCCCTGAAAACTGCAGTCATCAGGCCCCTGCTAAAAAAGAGCAGTCTGGATGCTACGGTACTTAACAACTATCGTCCCATCTCAAATCTGCCATTTATGGGGAAAGTCCTTGAATGAGTTGTTGTCTACCAACAGCTTACTAGATTTCTTATAATCAACAACTCATTTGATATGTTTCAGTCCGGCTTTAGACCCCACCACAGCACTGAGACTGCTCTCGTCAAGGTTACAAACGATATCCGGCTGAACACTGACGCAGGCAAAGTCTCAATCTTAATCTTGTTAGATCTAAGTGCTGCCTTTGACACTGTCGACCATGAGATCCTCTTACAGAGACT